AGTGTAAGTAAGTGTAACCAGGTGTGTCCAATGGTGACTGTAACTAAGTGTAAGTAAGTGTAACCAGGTGTGTCCAATGGTGACTGTAACTAAGTGTAATCAAGTGAGATTGAGGGCAACAAAGTGTGACCAAGTGTAACCATTTCCCTTTTGTGTTGCCAACCACATGCACTGCATGGTGCCGCCTACATTTACAAGATTCCTATATCACTAAAGTGAAACCTTTCTAGTCCAAAAGATGCTACAACAAAATACAATGTTTATATGTACTATTTACAACATGAGCGGCCGTGTTGTATCGGATATACAAACTCGAGCCGAAGGCGAGAGAAATCAAAGTTAAAGTTTATGTAAATCAACATGAATCTGTATCACATATACAGATACGACACGCTTATGATTTTTCTTTGTGTTTTCTTCATGAATTATTAATGAGTTTTTTAAAGTACATATAGAACCTTTTTATCTAGATAGAAAATAAAATCTTAAAAATTACCAACTCTCAACAACCAAGGAGTCATTATGTTTAATATACCTTGGAAATTTAGGATTCCTTAAAAATGTGCACTTCCATTCCAAACCTTCAATATAAACTCTCATCCAGGGGGGGGGGATATCAAAAGGTTGGGTCCTAAAAGATTGCTAGTCAGCTAGAGCACCGTCTTGAATAATTATGTTCATGCTGTCGTCTTGTTTTTTCTGTGGTAAGCCCTCCCGAGGTAGTCTGCGATAGCAGATTGATCTCAGCTGACTTCCCCACCCCCTGGAGTGGCGGAGAAACCAACAGCCTGCGATCAATCAACACTAATGCCGTACAAACAGTTACTCCCGCACAACGAGGAGCGGAATAGGATTGGTTGAAATTTTCCTTTGTGATCACGCCGAAAATTGCATAAATTACATTATGTATAATTTCTCTGCTAGTTGCTTTCCGTCCGCCATCTTGGACTTGACATTTTTTTAATAATTTTAAATTAATTATGCAAAATACTACTTACGTAACTGTACGGCATTAGTGTTGATTGATCGCAGACTGTTTCTCCGCCGCTCCAGTGGGCTGAGATCAGTCTACGATTTATTGCAGACTATCCCAAGATTGTAAGTTTGCCTTTACGGGACTCATGCCAAGACCGTTCTATAATGCTATCTCCATATGGAACAGTTTAGATAACTAGGCGCGTCATAGTAGTCAGATAACTATATAGACAGATATTTGCGCGCGTCACTCTACTAATAACACTTTTAAAGTTTTTAATCTATTCCATTTATGTCATGTAATTACGCTACCATATCAATAAAATCTCTATAACCATTGTCTATTTTACCGTATATTCGATTTATCAACTTTTTTACTAATTACGTTTTTTAATATGGATTTATTTCACGGATTTAATTACTTTTTATTAATATGGACGTTTGCATTACTGTACAGGTAAACCTTGTATTTTGTGCAGCACAACACTGTTTATGGAAGGTTACAGAGCTCAAAACTGCCATGGTGTTTTACGGCCTGCTTCACTGATAGCACAGTTACCGATGATCAATGAGGGCTTTCAACCTGGAATGCAGCAATGTGCCGCCGAGTTTTTCTTGGATTTCACGCGAGCATTGGATATAACTTCCTTGGATTATTGCGACAAGGGAATTATTCCATCACATTGCGATACTTCTTTCCTAAACTCTTTCCAATTTAGTCTGAGAAGTGAGGTAAAATGTCTTCTCTGTGGAGATATCTCAAAATTGTGGAGAAATAAAGTTGCTCAATCCATCAAAGAATGTAAGGAATTGTATTATAAGTCTAAAGTTAGAAACCTAAAAGTCACGGACGCAAGCAAATGGTGGAGAGAAGTTAAAAATCTTTCTGGTATGGCTGACAGAAATAACCAATGGTTTGAGCACCTCATTGATGGTGAAACCGTAGATTCCGTTAATACGTTATGCGAAAGAATCAATCATTTCTTTGTAAATCTCACAAAAGATTTTACGCCTCTCTCACAGGACGATGTTTCTAACTATTCTGCTGGTGATTCTGGTATTGCGGATGATCTCTTGGCTTCAACTGGCGAAGTTTATAAATCCCTTTGTTCTTTAAAGACAGGGAAGCTCCGGGACCGGATGGAATCCCGAATGTAATTCTAAAAACGTTTGCCTTTGAGTTAGCGCCAGTAATCGCTGATATTTATAACTCATCCTTACGTGATGCCTATTTGCCTCCTCTATTAAAGAGAGCATCTGTTACACCTCTTCCCAAACATTCTCCACCGGGCTCCATTGAAAATGGTATCAGACCCATCTCACTCACTTGCGAAATTGCTAAAGTGATGGAAGGTCTCACCTTAGCGAGAATCCTGCCATCCATTATAAGTCACTTGGATAACAAGCAATTTGCTATGGCTGGAAAATCTACGCAACAGGCTATAGTATATATTCTCCATCTAGCCCTCGAGGCCCTTGACAAGGGTGGTTGCACCCTCCGATTTTTCTTTGCTGATTTCCGCAAGGGATTCGATCTGATTGACCACAAGATTCTACTTGATAAACTATCTAAACTTGGCACTCATAACGTTGTGTTAGGTTGGATCGCTGCCTTTTTATATAAAAGGTCTCAGTTCGTTCGTATTGGGTCGGATGCATCTACACTTCAATATATCAATGGTGGTATTCCACAAGGTACTAAGCTTGGCCCGATCCTCTTTGCCGTAATGGTGAATGATCTTTTGTCTGCGTGGGGCCCCCGTGCTAAGTTCGTTGATGATCTTACCGCTTTGGAAATTGTACCTAGAAATTCCCCTTCCTTGATGAATCATATCGTAGCAGATATCCACTCGTTTGCTGAAGTGAACAATATGAAGCTGAATCCTGCCAAGTGTAAAGATATGATTGTTAACTTTCTTCATTTCAATACTGGTGTTTTGCAACCTATCATCATTGGTGCAACACGCGTGGAATCTGTTTCATCATTTAAACTGCTCGGAGTGTATGTTACCAGTGATTTGACATGGTCTGTGCATTGCGAATACATTATTAAGAAATCCAATAGGCGTTTATATGCGTTGAGGAAGCTTAAGAGGAGTGGGGTAGCCCCAACAGACATCGTATGTGTTTATTGTGCAATAATAAGATCAGTACTGGAATATGCTTCTGTCGTTTTCGCCAACCTTCCTCAAAATCTTAGCGACGATCTTGAAAGGGTCCAAAAACGAGCACTGGCCATAATATACCCTAACTGTTCCTATGATGATGCCCTAAAATTAGCTGGTATCGAACCGCTTGTCTTACGGAGGGACGCCGCCTGTAAGAGATTTGTGGAGACAATCCTACCTGGAAACCCACTCTATCCAATTGTTCATAGCCGGTCAGCACCAGTGAACCATGGTTATAAACTTAGATCTGACAATGTTGCGAGGAATATCAGGATGCGAACAGACCGGTTTCAGAAATTCGTTACCATTAAGTATGCGACCTGAACTGTGATCGTTGAACCTAATAACTCTATTGTCTAGTTATACATTCATTTTTAACTATAATAAATTATGTACACCTCTCAGATAATTTTGTATAAGTTTTATATACTGTAAATAATATATGTAAATAAGATTTTTGTAATGACCTGTAATTCAGTTTCTACTGCAAGGGTTTTTTTAATAAACTATTACTATTACTATTACTAAATCCACCACCAATGAAACATTGCTTCCGCTACCTGTAAAAAAGGTAAAACGTTTTGAATCAATTTTGTTACAATTTATAATACACGCTTTCAATAGACAATTCCCATTATAGACTAATTTTAAAATTAAGTAAGGAAACTCAAATAAATCACCACAGCTAGAAAGAGCACACTAAAATTAGTAAAATTACAAAGTTTGGTTGCGAAATGTTGTAAAATGAGGAAAGTATAGCCTTGCAAAGTTCGCAAATTTTGGATACTTTTGTATTGCTTGCGGAAATTCCTACCACATTCCTACCACATTTAGGCCGAAAATGTCGCACGCAATACAAAAGTATACAAAATTTGCAAATTTTGTAAGGCTATATTTTCCACATTTTACAACATTTCGCAACCAAATTTTGTAATTTTACTAATTTTAGTAGCTCTTTCCATTTGCATCTCGTTGCCTAGTTTTAAAATTAGTCTATAATGGGAATTGTCTATTGGTCAATTTTTTCCTATTGATTGCTTTTGGTTTTATCTTGCTAGCTATGATGAATATGATGTCAGACTTACATTTATACATTTTACAATCTATAACCAAAAGCCTGATATAATATTATCAAGTAAAAAATCAGAAATTTATTAAAACTTCGTTTGAAATTTATTTCAGAAAGTGTGTTTTACTATTCATGTAACTAAGCGTGTTTTTACTATTCATGCCCATATACTGTAAAATGAGAAGACAGTAACGTAAAATCACATTTGAATGTTCAATACAATCATTTGTTATCATTGTACGTCTTTTATTAACGTTGTACGTCTATTTAAATTCCATGTTTAATCTTCGTAAAAGTAGTAAAACTTTCAATTACTTTCGCAGGGAATCGACTTAAACTCTGCAATGAAAATGTTGAGGGAGCCCGAACATTTGGCAGATGAATATCAATGTGAAAGGTAGGAAGGCAGGAAGTATAATTTAAAATGAAACACAGTACAAATGTCACGTGGTTATTGCATGTGTAGCCAACGAAATGGAGCTACAGAATAGAAACCTGGTCTTTATAGTCACGACGAGAAACTGAACCGATACAATTGCACGAATAGTCCTAGTCTTTTCACGTGTTTTCAGAACACCTAGCTAGATTATTATATGTACTTCTCAGTTATTTTTTAAATTCTAAACTTTATAGATTTAAGGTATCTAAAATTTATAAAAGGATACTATGCAAAGGTACTAATAACGTTTTGGGTATAGGTGCAGAAAGAAAACGGAGGCATACAAACGTATTGTCTTCCAAGAACTCCCTGCATTCAGCTGCTGCGGTTTTCAAACCAGGGAAAGAAAATGAAAACATTTGTCGAATATCCGGAGTCACTCAAAGTGGAACAAGTCATGGAACCTGAAGCTGATGATGTGGAAGTGATCTCGGAGGAACAATACCATCTTGTGGCTGTTATTTCCCATCAAGGCAATACCATTACATCTGGTCATTACACGGTGTGCGCCCTTCGTAGTGGTGAATGGTTTTACCTTGACGATGCGCAAGTGTCGAAGATCTCCGGTCTTACAGCAAGGAATCAAGAGGCATATGTCTTAATGTACGAGAGAGATACCACCAAGAAGAGTAATGCAGCAACCACTACATTGGATTCCCACCCAAACCAATCTTCATTTCGAGTCTTCGATTCGCATCCGCCAAATTTCTACATAGATTATCCCTCTACCTCATATTCTTTGCCAAAGATATGCTGTACTGAAAAAAGCGAAGAGAAGTTAGTGTATAGACCGATTACCGAATCTCAAGTGAACGAAGCAAAACTGAAAGCGTATGAAGACCACACTTTTCCCAATCACTTAAGATTGAAAGGGTACTCTTCAAGTGATCTTTTAAGTCTTCTTCCAGGTACCTGGTTAAATAATTTCGTAATTAATAATTATATGTGGCTTCTCGAAAAGAAATGCAAAGCTCTTGGCAACAATGTAAGGACAATTAATAGCGATGTATTTCAGACAATGAAAACACCTTCCATGGAGATATTTAATAGGAACAAATACCAAACGCTGTGCAGTGACATTCTTTCATGTGATGTGATTTTGGGCGCAGTAAACTTTGGTAACCATTGGTGTCTAGTGGCTATATTTCCTCAATTAAGAATGATGGTGTATCTCGATTCTTTATATCACGGTGCTCATGCAAAGGAGGGCTTCCAGAGGATGCAGAACTTCTTGCAGTGTTCCCAGCGGATATCCAAAGCACAAGATTCGTCGCTCGACTGGAAAGAATGGCTATTTTATAATCTACCCAGTCAGTATCTCAGCCAACAGACGAATTCTGACGACTGCGGTGTATTTGTTTCGAAGTGGGCTCAGCACATTGCTGTTGGATTCCCACTGGATTTTACTCAAGCAAACATAGAATCTTTCAGGTATTCCATGATTCTGGAAATATGTGCCGGGGAACCGCGTTTAGAAATTGAGCTTCCATCATTGGAAAGTCAATTCAAAAATGAAACTGCAACTCACGAAGAACATGTTAATTTCTGTACCAGTGAAGAGAGATCAAAGAGAAAAGAGGTGACCTCGTTGAAAAGGCAGTTAAGTTCGCACTCGTTGGTTCGATTTCGTAGATTCAGATGACGATTTTCAACAAACAAAGAAAGTAAAGTCCTCCAATACCAAAGACTTTTCGGCCGTCTCCCCAAGTTCAAATACACAAACCAAAAAAACACACTCCACCACGCATGATCACTGTTATGCAACATCAAAACCTAGCGTTCAACAATCTGACTTACCTCTGCATGTCAGAGATATCCTTCCACCAAACTATACCTACAAGCTTCAGGAATATGAAGATCAAGAGAAAGAGTATTTTACAGGGGCACCAAAAGAGGCTTTTAAGGCAGTTTTCTCCATTTGTAATGTCACATCAGCGGAGCAAGTTAAAACATGGGTTTCAGAACTGGCTTCAACATCTAATATTAAATATGTCACGCAAGGTGGATACCGACGAAAAGGTGTAAAAGTCCTTTTATCGAAGTGGTATATTTGCCAATGTCAAAGAAAGAAGTTAACGAAAAAGCAACAAGAGGCAAAAAATAGAACCCCGGCAGTTTTCGAGATATTTGGCATTGAAGTGACCATACTAAATTCAACCTTTGCCAAAATGGCGTCTAATATCTGGGGAAGATATTGCGCCACCAAAGCTTGGTTTTCACAATAAATTTTGAAAGTCCCCCAATATTAGGATCATTTTTCTTTACAGTAAGTGTTAAATTACTTTTGAAAGACTATTTAGAAGACTTAGGAGTTATTTGCCTGTTTTTACAGATTTTATATCTGGACTGGTATTACTAGCCTGCATGCCCATCTCCTTGACATGCATGCCTATCTCCTTGGCAAGTGAAATTGTCTGGTGGTAGAGACGATTTTAAAAGAACAGCACATTATAAAGTGATCAGATTTTCTCTCAGTGAAAAATTCTATGTTCCTTTTTAATTACAGCAGTTCAGATGTCGATATAGAATTGAAAAAGGGCTTCTTCCTGAACATCCCGCAAGGGCAGGGCCAACTGACGATGTTGAAGAATGAAGACATTTTATCTGTTGTCCTTTATGTCTTCCTGAAAGTTGTTGGTGAATACAAATTGAGCTGTGATCCCTCAACATGGCCAACAACATGCTCCACCAAATACCTGAGCACAATATAGAAAGTGCACATACATGCAGGGATGGATTTACTGGGGGGGAGGTTGCACCCCCCTAGCCCTGGCCAGAGGGGGTGCACGGGGGTGCTATTTTTTATGATAAAGCAAAAAAGACAAAATAAGATACAATAATTTGAGTAATAACATGATGATAAGTGAACTTTTAACAACAATTACAATTCAAATACAGCAGTTGATGGGTGGGCGGCACACATGACCGACACAATTCGGCAGTCGGCACCAGAGCACCCCCCCCCCCCCACCAGATCATGCTGGATCCATCCCTGCATACATGTACTGTATCATATTTAATTAATGCTTGAGTATATTTGTTCAAATTTATTGACATTAATAAATAATTAAATTATGTTTGTTATAGTAGTGTACATTTTGCACCAGCCACTCTTGAAATTAGACGTCAGCCACTTTTTAACTAGATGGCCATGGATGACCTAAGAAATTGTTTTCTTTATTAAACAGCAACTTGCAAGCTTTGTGATATTTCTTGAATACCTCAAAAGTTGTCAGCTGCTGTTTACATTATCTACTTCATATGTTTCGATAATTTTTGTTGAAAAGATGCTGAATTGTCAGCATGTGACAATTCATTTCAAGCACCATGTAAGTTGCCACACATCACCCACAGTATTTTTTGGACAAGCCAGTTTTAACACCCTGGCTGGTACAGTTATTGTATATACCTGTAGTATAATTCACCATGTTTGGTTTTTTAGTATGCATGAACACTATTATTAAAAAGGAGGAAGCATTTATAATGGCATGCAGGTACATTATTTGATACTTCTGAAGACCATCCAGAGTCAACAGGTGTATATAGAAACAAGTAAATAGAGACCCATATTTTGACTGGAAATAAGAACCATTTAAATTCAACTCAGCCCGATTTTCACAGAACCAACTTTAAAACGAACTGCAGTCGAACTTTACAACATACATTCCGGACTTACAAATAAACATTGGTGGTCAGATTTCAAAGACAAATTGACAGTAAGATGTAATTTTATTGTTGGGGATGGGTTGGTGCTTTAGGGGTTGGTGCTTTAGGGTTTAGGCTCAATTCCTGCAGAAGGGTTACATAAAATCACAGCAATTTCAAAATTAATTACATGGCTTGACAAAATAAATTCTATTCAGTCACGAAATAGGTAGATGCATTTATTTATAGCACATGTTTTTTTAAGTTTAGATATAGGTAATGAGAACCATATTGGTGTCCTACACAATAAAAAAGCAATATTGCTATTTTGAGGGAGTTGCACAAGTGCACATGACAGATATTGTTTTCTTATAGATACACACCTACTTAAATTAAATGATTTTTCATTTTTGTTTGGCAATAAAGTGAAAGGTAAAAATGCTGAAAAAATCTAAAAAGTTAGCCAATTTAAATAACATCATTTCTATAACTTGCTAAACCTAGTCAGTTACTATTATATCACAAACATCTGTCGACATACACTCATGCCCCTCCTTACCACTTGAGTCTCCCACTCACCACATCCCTTTATGAAAAATTTTGAATAAAATCCTATTTTAAAAAAGTCAACCCTATACTTTATATGCTGAACATAGACCTCTAAGATATCTCATGCAGCAATTAGTGGGTGCAAATAATATAGCCAACATCACATGTGTCCATCCAGTTCCATAGTCTACATCAATTGCTATTGCACTTGGGTCCATTGGATTCAATGGCTTTGGCCGTATTCTTACATTCACTGGTTTATCTTGTCCATGAATAGCAAGGCATGCCTGTTACAAATGATCTTGGTAATGTTTCTCATGAGCAGCACCAATGCACTTGAATGGCACAGCATGGGTGATTTCGTCCTCGTCACTTTCATCCTGATCACTTAACTGGTCACCACTTTCTGCCCTATCACCTTCATTACCATATCCATCCTGACCAGGTTCAAGACCAGCCAACCACTGAACCACTCAAGTAGATCTCTTTCTACAAAATCATAACAAGAAAATTTTTATTTTATTATTTTATACATACACTGTAATCTCTAAAATTAGCAGTCTAATGCAAAAGTGTGTCACTATTTACAGTAATATTAGAACAACACACAAATATTATTTTACAGATGAAAATTGAAAAATATAACTATACTGTATGCACATATATGTAAAAATCTATCCATACAAACAGGCATCATACTTCAGCAAAAATGTATTAAACAATTCGTTTAACTCAAAACATGTACATATGTATCACAGTGACACAGTACATATACACACACAATAGGGTCAAACTAGAGGAATTGTAAACACAATTGCAAGTATATATATATGACGCCATAATTTTGTACAGTGTATTTATATTAAAAGTACAAGAATAAAAACAATAAAGCGGAAACTTGACTATAAAATAACACGATAACTGTAATGCATTGTAGTATACCAACCTTAAATACTGCGCTTGTTTTCGCGTTGATGATACACGGAGATTTAACGCCATCCAACTTAGAAAGAAGAGCCTTGCTATTGGGAATATAAATTAAACACAATTCCTTTTCTCAGACGGATTATTTATAAAGCTAAAATGACAACACGTCCCATGCAATTTAAAGAAAGGTAAACTTGATAATATAGTAAAACACAAGTCATAATGATGATCGCACCATACAGCAATAACATGCTGTTTTCACAAAATATCGCAGCCTGACACTCTTGTCGTTCGAAAGCTTCCATATTGGTTTTGTAGTCAGAGAGATGTTCACTCCTCGACAGTCGACAGTCAATGAAAGCCACGCGTGGAATTAGGCGCTCAATACCCATGATGCTTTGCGGCCTGCTGTCCAACCTCCTCTGTAGCGACCATTAATTTTAGCTATTGTTACTCCGTTAATGGCTAGGGTGCATTCCTTGCCTCAATCAGGAGAAATGGTGTTCTTGGATGCGTCGGCCAGTATTGACAGGCACAACAACCCTGTTTATTTCCTTTGTACCCATCACCCTTCAGGAGCACTGCCCTTATGTGTGTGGGTTACATCAGACAACTCACAACAAACCGTCACAGGCTGGTTGGAAACAGCGAAAGGTTTATTTCCGCATGGTGCGTTTGGTGGTCGTGGTGTACAAGAGGGACCAAAGATTTGCCTAACCGATGACGACTCGAGTCAAAGAGCTGCTTTAAGAACTACTTGGTCCTCAACGAAATTGCTTTTGTCGGTATTTCATTTCCTGCAATCAACTTGGAGATGGTTATGGGATTCTAAAAACAAAATTCAGCTGTCCGACCGTAAACCCCTCATGAAATTAATAGGCCGTTTGCCGTGACCTAAAAATATGCCTAGAAAACGATTTTCATTAAGCATGTCGTGGAACTGAAATATTTTCACGGTAACTAACATTTTAGAACACGCTGAATTCAAATCCGAAAACTTGCCGCTCCGTAGACCCGCAGTTTTTTCACAAATTGCATTTGTATTTTCAGTTCTTCGATGAACAAAAATAAACACGCGCCATTTTGAAATTAAATAACATCACTCAGAGTATGCCGTTTTTGCTCCCCAGTCTCCGATGCTTATGACCGAGTTAAGATTTAGAGCAATGTTATTAAATTTGCTGCAAAACAAACACAGTCACGTGGTTTTAAAAATGGCTAGTCAGAGTGATTTTCAGTTTATTTGCCAGTAAAATTGCTAAAGAATGAGAAATAAAAGTTTAAATTATTTATTTGCCAGAGAAAAGCAATAAGGTAGGTGTTTTCTGTGTATATTTTTTGAGTTTGTTTAAGGCTAATGGCCTATAGAAGAACAAACAAGTGATTAAGTGAACAACCATCACAATTTATTCAGGTTAGCTCTAAGACACATATAAGGAAAGGATTAATTAAGGCCAGTCTGCTTGAAAACTCACAGTAAAATTGTTCCATATCAAGTTTGCTGTTTATGGGAATTATTGTTGGTCATAAGGTGTAAAGTAATTTATAGAAACTGTTATCCAAATATTGATTTATCACCCCATGAAATGTCAAGAAGGCCAACAAAACCATGAACATTTGCATAGTATAAATGATTATTATATCTGCATAACCTGCTGCTGACTTATTTATTCCATGCCTTATTGCATCTTCAAGACTTAGACTGTGCTAGAATATACAGTATACACACAATATATAATAGGATATACAAATAAGATTCTGCATGAATAGATTGGGTCTAAACTTGTATTAATTCCATCAATTACAAGGAAAGATGTTTGGCTGACAGAGATCAGCCTGGTTTTGAGATCTACAGTAGCCGCTCATATAAGCAGCCCCTAAATTAAAATATCCACCTACAATCCTGGAAAAAATTTATATATTGTCGACAGTGTGCGCAAAAATACAAATACCTGCCTTGCCCAAACATTTTTAACTGTTGAAAAGCTTCTAGATCGGTTAGGCGAAAGCTCTGTGACTGATGGAGGAGATGAAGATGTCAACATGCGTATGTGAACAGTAATACTTTAATTGTTCACACCTAATTAGTGTCCACAGAATTTTTGCCATGATTGTAGCTATAGGTGGAAGTAAAACTGTGAGTTCAAAATATATTCAACAGCATTAATTTTTTGTTGCCCAATTTGACAAAGTAATACTTTATATGTTGTTATGCTGGGTTTTTCCAGCTTGACAGTAAACAAGCTGTTTGTTTTGTTTTATAACCTGTTAGAAATAAGGAAAAATACATGAGTCCCAGGCAGCTGTGCTTGGATCTTAGCCCTTTAAAGTAGTTGCATTGCTCCCAAATGCACCCTACTTTATTAGTCTACTCTGTCTAATGCCAGACAATTTTACTTGTCAAGTGGAAAAGTGCTGGCACTCATGCAATAGGCAGGGCTTGCAAAATTTTGAAAAAAGTGGCTGCCCTTC